TCATCCTTTCCTGTCGATCCCTTGTCTTTTCTTTATCAATAATTCTTGGCCAAGTGTCCCCACTTTTCATAGTTATAACACTGCATACCTTTCTTATCTTCTTTGTCCTTTCGATAGTTTCCTCCTCTCCTTTTCGAGGATTCAGAAGATCTATCTTCGACCTTATTCTTATGGGGATTCGACCAAGAATTCTTTCCATGAGTCTGGTCAAACTTGCCTTTGAATTTGTTGGAACCACCATCCTTTTTCCATGACTGAGCTTGCAGTGCCTGTATCGAGTCCTGAACTTATTTCCTTCCGATAATCATCATCTCATGCGCCTCCAACGAACCAACCAAATCTTCCACTTTAGTGGTTTCAAGATTGTTGGATTCTTGAATAGCTAGGATAACATGATCAAAGTGAGAGGTCAACATTCTCATTACCTTCTCAACTATCATCTTATCAGTAATGGTTTCACCATAGCCCTTCATGAGATGGACGAGTTTCTGAACTTTCGACACATATTCTGCAACTTTTTCATCTTCTCCCATCGACAACAACTCATATTATCGATGCAAGGTTTGTAATTTGACAACCTTGACTTTCTCACCTCCTTCGTAATACTTCACCAGAATATCCCATGCCTCCTTCGTTGTTTCAACATGAGATATTTTGTCAAAATTAGAAGCGTCGACAATCGTTTGAATGCAATAAGCAGCCTTGCAATCTTTCTTCTTGACTTCGTTGTGGGCTTTTTTCTGTTCGTCGGTTGCATTTGCAGCCAACGCAAGAACGCCATTGGTAACCAATTCTAGGGTTTCATGGAAGCCGAACAAGGATTGCATCTGTTTTTTCCATCGGATCCAATTTTTTCCGTCAAACATTGGAAGAGAATTCAGAATGCCCTTATCACTAGCCATCTTCGCAGCGGTTGATTCATTTACCCTAGAAACACGATCCCTGACGTGAAATTCTTGAAAACTTGATCAAGAACAATAACCGGAAGCTCTGGAAACCAATTTGTTTGTGTGTGAGACACTTCTAGTGAGGAGAGAAAGAGAGAATAATAAAGGAAATAAGGATTTGTATTATTAAATTGTATAAATAATGATACATACTATGACTATTTATATACAACCCTAATTGGGTTTGGGCTAACACAACTTGGATTATATTTAAATATTAAATCTAATCTAATTTAATATTTCAACAGTTAATTTCTCCAAAATCCTCCTTCAATATAAATTTTGAGTTCCTTTAAATTAGATGGTTTTTGGTATTATGAAGAAACACAAATCCTCCCAAACAAAATCTTTTTATTCTTTTCACTAAATCCTTCCTAATTTTCAAAGCCCTCCCTCTTCAAATTTTCAAACATAGCCTAACACTTCAGATGTGTCTCCTAGTGCCTCTTCAATATCATGACAAAGCTAGCTTGTATCTTTTATGTACTCTTGTATCTGTAAATCAAAGCTTAGAACATGATGCTTAGAGTATTTTGCCACCACCAGAATTGTAGTTGATCTCAAAACTAGTATTCCTTAGAATATAACTTCCTTAGAATATATACATAAGAAATAAAAGAAAAGTAGAATATGTGTTTGCAAGTATGACCACCTGTTTGATTTTAATGCGAACAACACTTTTTAGGAGAAGTTTTCATTGAGAATGATTTGGTTCGGATGAAGATAAGTGATGTTATCATCTGATGTGATTAATTGATGGCGTTTGAAGATCGAGATATAATGTGATCATGTGGTGGTACTTGAAGATCAAGATTTACTTAAGATATCAAGATTTATTGTGATGATCAAGTTGTGATCAAGATATCAAATTTTAATATTGTGATTCTCAGGTTGTGATCAAGTGCTCTGAGATTAAGATGTCAAAGCATATCTTTCAGGGACAATACCTTAGGTTAAGCGGTGTTCATGAAGTCAATAAAGATTTATAATCAAGTAGTTTGTCTAATGATGGTGTCTATCTTGAAGAGTTATCTCAATACTCATTAGAAGAAGGTTTAAGGTTCTAGTGAAGTGTTAACATCAAAGATAATATGACAAGAAACAAAAGCTTCAGAGTTATGAAAGAGAAGAAGTGTGAAAGTTCATCGAGTTTGTGTCGAGTAATATGTGTTTGTAAAGATATAAGACTAGTTCTCAATTTTACTAAGGTAAATCACACACCCATATTAAATTTTAGAAAAAGTCTCTCTCTCTCTCTCTCTCTCTCTCTCTCTCTCTCTCTCTCTCTCTCTCTCTCTCTCTCTCTCTCTCTCTCTCTCTCTCTCTCTCTCTCTCACACACACACACACACACACACACACACACACACACACACACGCACACATTAAAATCACAAAAAAAATGTTTTTGTAAGAACTCAAAAAGTTCTTTATGAGTGCATTTCTACATCGTAATCGATTAACCCTTATGCCTAATGGATTATTCATTTTTGTAACATCTCATAATCAACTATTATGGTTAATATTTAATTAGTAACGCTCTTTGAAAACCTTCAATTTTTTGTCTTGATAATGGATTATATGTTTGACCTAATCGATTGTCAATATTTAAAAGACTAATAAATCGTTTCCTTTTAAAGTCAAATTTTTTCATATAAATAGACGACTCTTCTTCACTTCTTTACACACCAGAAAACATAGTGAAAAAATCTTGTTTGATTGTTGAGGTAAATTAATAAAAACTTATGTTTGGTTGGGAAAATCACTGTAGTTAAAACTCTCAGCTAATTCGTGAGTTTAGCTAGGTGTTAAAAGCTCTCTGTTGGCTTAAGATTGCCCTGGTGGTAAAATCTTTTAGTTGGAAGATCTCCATAGTTAAAACTTTGTTTTGGTTGGGAAGTTAGTCATTGTAAAATTCTAACCCAGTATATGAGGGTGTCTGTGAAAAAATCTGTCAAAAGCTTTCATCATAATTGAAACTCTCAAGAAAGAATTCTTGGGGAGAGGATTAGTTCACTTCATTAGACCGAACCACTATAAATCTCTGGAGTTTTTTCTCTTTCCTTAATTCTTTAATTTTCAGATATTTTATTTACACTGCATTTCCTTTTATATAATGTTCTTATTTCCACTGTTTTTACTCGGTTTGTTTTATAAAAACTTTTTAAACTCTATTTTGTGAAATATTCTAATTTGAAAATAGTTTTTCAAATCGACACAATTCACTCTTCTCTTGTGTTTGAGTCACGTGACCAACACATATAGAAACAAGCATCCCACAAATCAGGAAGAAAAAAACACAAAAACAAAAAACTAACAGGACACCAAAACACTCACCCTTTCTGCCAACAAAATGAGACACATGAAGGTTAACCGAAATTGCAACCACTAATAAACCAAAATCAAAGATGCCTGCAGCAAGCCGAACTGAAGTACCAAAGAACAAACAATATATATTTTCAAAACATCAAACTGAGACAATGTTTAATAAAACAACCAAAGATTTCAAAGAGGCAAGCAGACCACCCAACATATCCATATACACATATACGCATAAGAACAAATCCTTCTCCCCATCTGCAAGAGAGGATAATAAATTCGAAAAAATGAGACTAATCTTGTTAACCCCATGATTGACAGACAAACTTAAATTTGAAAATATAAAGTTGTTATAAACCCTCTATATCATCCAAATCACCATATACCAAATCACAAACAGACCTAGCTACTTAACCTTACTTCTATTGAAACCCTCGATACCTTCTAACAACCTGATAATGAAATAAGGAATAGCCACATCTCTAACAACCCACCTAAAGACTCTATATCAAATATCAAATGCGAAACCACAAGTAACAAAGAGATGGTCAACCGACTCCCCTGATGCAGAGCACCTGCAACACCTCGCTCAATTGGGATTAACTAGAATTCTAGTCCTAAGAAAATTCTATCTAACCGGAATCATATCCTGCAACATCTGCAAGAAAAAATGAATCACTTTAGAAGGAGCCCATCTTTCTCAACCCTTGGTCAGAGTCTGATTCTCTCAATCAAACATACATTCCTCCTCAAGAACTCAAGAGAAACTTATAAGTAGACCTCATTTGTTATTAGTTGTATTGAGAAAAACCTAAGTTTCATATTGATTAAAGATAGAGTCCACAAAAGGTTTATATAGAGTAACTCTCCTCACTTTATAAGTCAGTTTTATAGGGATGGGTTATGTCAAACTCTAATTTTATCATGATATCACGAGCCAATCTATTCCGGACACCCACCATTTATATGCGCACAAAGTTCAATAGTGTTGAGCGTGAGGGTGTATTGAAAAAAATCCAAATTTCACATTAGTTATAGATAGAGTCCACAAAAAATTTATATAGTGACATTCCTCATCTTACAAGTCGGTTATGTAAGATTAAGTTAGACCAAACTCTAATATTGTTGTACCATAAAACTTATTAATAACATGAAACTTATTAGTTATTCTTATCCAACAATTTTGTTATAAATTTGAAAAGCTTATATTTGATAATATAATTTCTCCCAGTTGAATCAACCTTGTTTTAATAGAATTTTTCTAATGTTTGATGGTGGCATAATGAATTTTAAAACACATACAAGTAGGCATATTTGTTATAACAAAAGGCAGGACGACCTGGTAATCAATCACAAAGCCACTATGTTGCTTGTAGGAATGTTTTATGCGAAGAATTTGGTGTAGCAGCCAACATTCACCACGCTCTCCCTATCTAATTTAACATAGCCTCCAAAAGCATAAGAAGTTTTCAAAAATAGATTGCTTCAACTTATGACCAATATACTGAAGGCTACAATCAAACACGTTTTTGTTTCCAAAGTAACACCTACTCTCACCTCCTCTCCCCTTTTTGTATATATACTCGTGAAGAAGCATATATGTTATTCATCAAAGCATTAATCACCATTCAGCAACATATATCCCTGCCTTCATCTCTACTCACACTCGCACTACTTAATTAGCTGATCTGTGAAAACAAAAATACATACTACATCAATATATTCAGATATAACAATGGTTAGAATCCATGCATTATTGATTTCTACCTTGCTTCTATTCATTCTCTCACTATCAACGTCGGCATCATCCTCATCTTTGGAGTTTGGCTTCTATAAGAAAACATGTCCATCTGCTGAAGCAATTGTTAGAAGAGCTGTAAACAAAGCCGTTTCACTAAATCCAGGCATTGCTGCTGGTTTGATTAGAATGCATTTTCATGATTGCTTTGTAAGGGGATGCGACGGTTCTGTATTATTAGAATCCACACCAGGTAATCTATCTGAGAGAGACCATCCGGCAAACAATCCAAGTTTACGTGGCTTCGAGGTCATCAATGAAGCTAAGGCACAAATAGAGGCCGCGTGTCCTAAAACGGTGTCATGTGCAGACATTCTTGCTTTTGCAGCTAGAGACAGTACTCGCAAAGTTAGTGGCGGCATAGACTACTCGGTACCATCAGGACGCAGAGATGGTCGAATCTCTATCATGGAAGAAGTCACACAAAATCTACCACCACCAACTTTCAAAGCGGAGGAACTTATCAAACGTTTTGCCATGAAAGGTTTATCAGCAGATGAAATGGTTACACTTTCTGGAGCTCATTCTATTGGTGTCTCACACTGTTCCTCTTTCTCAAACCGGTTATACTCTTTCAATGCTACATTTTCTCAAGATCCTTCAATGGACCCTAAGTTTGCTACGTTGTTGAAATCCAAGTGTCCACCACCACAATCACAGACAAGAGACCCAACAGTGGTGTTGGATGGCTCAACGCCTAAGGATTTGGACAACATGTACTATATGAAGTTGAAGAATAAGCGTGGTTTATTAACTTCAGATCAAACATTGGCTGATAGTGACTTAACAAAGAGAATGGTGTTAAAAAATGGCAGACATAATGCAATATGGAGAGTCAAGTTTGCAAAGGCCATGGTGCATATGGGTTCCATACAAGTCTTGACAGGTTCTCAAGGTGAGATTAGAGAGCGCTGCAGCACTGTTAATTTTTATTAGCTGCACAAGATTTCTTCATCTTCCTCAAAATTTGTCCATAGATGTCAAGATACATTCTTTCATTGTTTTACTTCATCAATTCTTTGAATTATTATTGTTTCTGTTTTGAATCATTCTTTATTTGTGTGTGACTGTTTGTAATCTTTATTTATTCAAGTGTATTATGTGCAATCCTGTGCAATAAAATGTGAAAAGTAGTGAACTACTACGTTTGAATTATATATGTTGTATCCTTTCAAAATTTACAGCTTAAAGATTTGGTTGTTGTTGGATGACTTGTTATTATTCAGTTGACCTCTTCAAACTGCATGCGGTTATGAAAGAAAAGAGTGTATATTCAAAATTATTAAAATTATATTTTAAAAATAAAACTTCCATGAAGTTAAACACATGCTTTTATTAGATATGATAGTCAAATTGCAAGATGTTGATCAGGTTTACTTTGTATCTTCAATAAAAATCTTGTTGAGAAGTAATGTTAAATGATTTTTATGTGAAATTTTCCAAAATAAGAAAATCATTCAAAATTACCAGTAGTACTAGTCTAATGGGAAGAACACTTTTAGAGGAAATTCTTGTGTGAACTGAGCACAAAGATTTGTTTTCTAGAGATGTGAAGAAGAAATTTTAATTTTGTACTACTTCCTCCGTTTAAAATGACTGCCGTTTAAGATCGTTCCACACAAATTAAGAAATACAATGATGTTGTTATAATACATTATACTTTTACAAAATTAACATTATTAATGTATTGAAAATAGTGTAGAGAATAAAAAGTAAATGACATAATTGAAAAAATAGTAATGATTACTACTTTGAAAAGTGAAAACGACAGTCATTTTGAAATAAAATTTATTTGCTAAAACGATAATCATTTTGAAACGGAGAAAGTATTTGAGATGTCATGCGGGCAATAGTTTTAGATTTTGATTTGCAACTCAATGATTTAACCAGATAGAGATTGCAACTGCAATGGTTATTGCATTTAATACAATATTAATAAGGTATACACCATAACCGCAACAGTCCCAAATTCGCAGCATAACACTCAATCTTAAGACCATCAATAGTCAAAATGAGCATGAAGAGGGAAAGTGGATGATATTTGTTGAGATATTTCAAGAGCAAAACACAAAAAGATTGCATCATAATAGTTTAAGTAAAAAAGTTTTCTACCATTAGCTTAAAAATTAATCTCTTTGAAATAAAGGCAATTTCCCTCCTCTTTACCTAGGCTCTGCCAAATGGTTGCTCCTAAGAATCTAATAGACATAAACATAGACAAACACACAGACATGTGTGGCTTTAAATAATTCAATTGACTTCACAATCAAAATGGTAAACATTAAACAATACTATTTGATTATACATGGGTAAAAAAATCAAATTATTCTTCAGTAATAGACCGAAGTTCTTTTTTTAAGACAAATAATACATGCTTGAGCAATGAAAATCTACGCATGCTGGAAATCATGATCGCAAAAGTTAACTCAGCTTCTTGCACCTTTAACTAATAAATCTCTATGCCTGCAGCAAATCACCCCAAAAAAAGAAAGGCATCAGTTGGATTGTTATGTTAATTGAATTGCCCAGTTAGACAAAACATTTATTCAGTATTAACCTTGTTTGCAATGTTGTTTGAGAGCCAGTCAAGTCCTTCATAAAGTCCTTCACCAGATGTGGCACATGTGCTCTGGATGTACCTACATGTACAGAGTAATGAGTATTGGAAGCAGGAAGATAAGGAGAGAAAAAAAAGAAAGAATGCAGAGAGCAATATTTCTAGTTTACCAGTGACGCTGACGAAGAGAATGAAGACCAAGCTTATCAGTTATCTCAGCAGCATTCATAGCATTTGGAAGATCTTGCTTGTTTGCAAAAACTAGAAGCACGGCATCTCTCAATTCATCCTGCCAAAAAAGTATTATAAGCATCCAAAAAGGCCTCCGTGTATTTAAGCTTGGGAATGAAATAACAGTAAATAATCAACCTTTCATTTTCACCCATTCAGGATATATTTAATTACCTCATTCAACATCCTATGCAGCTCATCTCTAGCTTCAACAACACGATCCCTGTCGTTGCTATCAACCACAAAAATAAGGCCTTGTGTATTTTGGAAGTAATGTCTCCACAGAGGACGGATCTACGGGGAAAACATGTCAATTGTCACTGCATTGTTGAATAAGAAAAGATGCAACATACCTCAGAGTTATACATTATAGCAACAGGTCAAAGGCAGGGGCCGGGCAGATGTACTTGAACCGACTACCTTTTAGGTACTAAAACTCACAATAACCACTAAGCTACATGCTAAATATTGTTTATTTTCGAAAATAGAGTTATATATTATTTAATTCATTAAATTTCTATAAATCCCAACATAAAATTGGGGCCCCAAATTATTTGAGGCCCTGTGCGGTGGCTCTCCCTGCACATGCACAGGGCCGTCCCTGGTCAAAGGTAAGACAGCTTGAGCCAGACAGGCTCCAACTTATGATACATTAACTCCAAGAAGTTAGATTAGGTGATTGAGAAATTGAGTAGTTGATCCTATGCTGACTACATCAATAGTCTTAAATTCAAGAAGACAAAAAGAGAAGATTTCATTGTCATGAGGTGTATGATATTGATAACCAGTTAGGCATCACCATACAATTTGCATAAACATCATTTGCATATAAACAGCATTGCAAAATAACTACAAGCACATTAGAACAATATATTTATTTTGAATCACATCTGCAACTTTATCCATGAAAAGGATTACATCTATGTGATTGCATCAAATTGACATTCAGTGATTCATCACCAAAATTTACTGATTAGATCTGAAATTTGGAAATTTAATCTTGTCACATTCACAAACTGTAAAACCAATCATTAATAAACAATATCATAGGAGAACAAAGGAAGTGGATTGGTTTCCTGATTATTGAAATAGGGCAGTTATATTATGTGTTAGTTAGGAGGGTTTGTGAAATAAATAGGGAGGTTATGTGAAAAGAGAAGGGGTTGGTTAATTTGGAAAAAGGATATGTAAGGAGAGATCTAACACTCTCCAATTCTTGGAGAGAAATCGTGTACTATCTGACTCTAGTCTTTCTAAGACTGCCATATTGTATTGGTGTGTTGACATAAATATAGTCCTCTGCTGTTCTAGTATTGCAATAGGATTCTTAATCACCATTCTGTTTTCTTTCCATAATAATCTTATAATAGATAAGAGTTCTAGCACAAACATAGTGGCTCAAACAGAGTTTCAACCAATTTCCATGTTATAACATCAACAAAAGCAATCAGTACAGTATGCTAAACCATAAATAAGTATTCTAGTATGCATTCTAGTACACCATAGAAGATATAGTGAAAATATTACCTTGTCCTGACCCCCGACATCCCAGACAGTGAAGCTGATATTCTTATATTCAACTGTTTCCACATTGAACCCTGCATCAAATGATCCATTAGTACAACTTATACAACGTGCCTAACATGAGAGATTCATAAGGATAATATAAGCCGTTATCACACTCCCAGTGATACTGGCAATACTAAATTTAGGCCAAAATCATTGATCATATATTAATCTCAGTTGACATCTCAGAGAAAGGACACACGATATTATTTCTTTTGGAAAGAAGTCATTCCGATCATTAAATGTGTGAGGCTGTGTACAATAGTTCTTGAAAGTATTAAATTACAAGAGCATCCATGACTGTCTAAGGGGAGGACCAAATTGCCTAAGGAAATATATATTCAAGGATGTTTTTGTAATCTCAATATATTCCATGAATATAGTGACATCTTGTGACAGATTCAAGAGCTGTTTACTTCTTACTTTTGTCATTACATATACAACAATCAAAATATATTTTTTCTGAATAGATTGATTAAAACCTATTAACACATACATGACACATCAATACCGGTAATAATTTTAAGAAATTTAATAAAATTGAGCGTAGTCACAAGTGTTGATGTCAATGTCCGACACTGACACGGATTTTTCAGAGGTGTCAATGCGAGATTTAGTTCAAATTAAAAAACTTGGTAACATACATACCGATTGTAGGAATGGTGGTGACGATCTCTCCAAGCTTGAGCTTATAAAGAATGGTGGTCTTACCAGCCGCATCGAGACCTACCATAAGTATACGCATCTCTTTCTTGGCAAACAGCCGGCTGAACAGCTTCGTGAAAGACAATCCCATTTTCAACTATTCTGAATCCACATAAACATCATTATCATCACAATCAACTCTACTTACTCGGATCTCATTTCAATCGCAACAAATCAAATTTAAACCAAAAATGACACAAAAAATAAAAATAATAACGAAATATACGCAAAAGGAAGAGAATCGTAACATGATCTACTCTAATTACACAAAACGAAAGCGAATCTGATGAAATTGCACGATTGAAAAACCAAAATTGAGAAAAGCGATCATGATCCAACATAATCGCGTGATCTCGCAACACGCGATTTGGATCCAGCACTTCGTAAACCAAATTACATGAATTAAATTGTAACGGAATTATATGGAGAAATCTAACGCATGCGAGAATCAGAGTATACAAATTGAAGATAATAAAGAGATTGAGAAGAGATGCATTTGTTGAAAAAGTGAAGAGATCTGGTGGAAGGAGAGAAAGACTTGCCTTGATGAAAAGAGCGATTTGGGAAGAAGAAGATGAAAGCGGATCTCTTCTCCTTGTAACAAAGAGAAAAGAAATGGAGGTTCTCTCACCGTTAGGCCTACGCGGATTTATAGAATGAGAAACACAGATCCAAATTTCGTAACGTGTTTATTCGGTCCGTCTCTAATCATTTTTAAAATCATCCATTTATTTTATTTTTTTTCAAAGGAAATTAATCCCTACCTTTAATGTTAAAGTGTACTATAAAATTACGAACACTCTATCAAATTATAAATTGTTTTAAACATTTCACATAAATTAAATTTATATAAAAATATTTCTAATTTTATCATATTATCCGTCATTAATTATATAAAATAAGACAAGTTTTAAAAATTGGAATAAAGAAGATTAATAAATAAGAGATGATATATTATATATAAAAAAACATCAATGTTAGATTATAATTGTAAGATGACTTACGTCCTTAGTTGCTTGCAATGTCCGCGACAAAAAGCTCAATAGCATTACGCATTATGCACAAAGATGTGGGGAATATGTGAGATTTCTTTCAAATTAGGGGTATGGAATTTCCACCTCCAACATACTTTTCACTGTTTGATCTGGTCAGACAGTTACCCGCGTAAGGTATTGGGTTTTAAGGAGACAATTTTAATTATTCTTATATAAAGCGCAATGTACGTTATTCTAGAGATTCTCTCATTCACTACTCGAACTACATTCTCACTTATTCACTAACTTGGACGTTAGAGTGGTGACCTTGTAAGCTCACCCTCGTTGCGTCATGCCAGAAGTTCATTCCACCACATCATAGCTTAGCATCGTTCGTTCTACATCAGATTTCGATTACAAAATATAACAGAGCAACGTTTGTAGAAATCAACTTCTATTCTTTAGAATTTCCACAAAGAGCAACCATTTATTCACCACGATCTCAGACTCTTATGAACACCCATTCAAAGCTACAAAATTGGAGCTTGTTTTGTGGATTTATGTGTGTTATGCCCGATTTTTTTTATCTAAGATCTCACCTCTTTTTGCATCACTGCATAACATCAAGAAATCATCTCATTCATCTTTGTATCACTAACCTCATAAAAAATACAAAAATATGTTTTGCTTGTTTGTTTCTTTTGCAAGAAAGGTATGTTGAAACAAGGAGTCTAAGTGATTGATAAATCAACGTTCTATGTGTTCCTTAATACTTCAAAGTCCAAATTAATTCATGATGATAAAGAGATCCCTCTTTATCAACAATCAAAGTTTAATTGTGTATCAAATCAAGTTTAAATTCATCATATGCTTCAAGTTGTGGTTTTTGGTCAAAGTCAGCTTGATGTTGACTTTTGACCTAAAACATGATATCATGGATTGTAACATGATTTAAGGGCCTCAAATGCTTCCTTGTGATCCATTCACTTGCCTCATTTGGTCCGAAAAGTTTGATCTATTGATAGTTGAAGAATTGTGATTCAATTGCTAAAGTTAACAATATTTCAAAGTCAAAGTTTGACGTTTGATATTTTTGGTCAACCATGGACTTCTCAAGTCAAATTTCATGAAAATATGGAAGATGGATGAATTTGATCAAGTAGAATCATGAAAATCAATAAAAATTGGAGAATTAGTCATTTTGAAGAAATTGAAATATTCCTAAGTACCAAAAATTCATGTTCATTTAACCAACTTTTCATGATCATATCTTCCTCCTCAAGTATCCTAAACTTGCAAAGAAGAACTCTTTAGAAAGCTCTCATGGCATATTTCAATTTGATGAAAAGATTTGGAGTCAAAAGGATCCTTAAAGTGCTTAAAACTGATAGCCAAAATTGATGTTCCAAGTTGTTGAAAAATCTCAACACCAAATTTTTTTCTAAGTGTTTTGACCTTACCAAACGTATGACTTTATAGCCAAATTATGATCAATCCAAGCAACCATTTTTCACGCCCAAGGAATGTACTTAAAAATGATCCTACATACTTCAACATTGTAGAAGGAATTGACTCAAAAGCTCATAAGATTTGAAAGATATGAAGTGTTGAAGTTGAGGTCTCAAAGTTGATGAATTACAAAATACTTAGAGATTTTTATAAGTGTTGAAGTTAATGTCTCAAATTTGATGAATTAATAAATACTTAGATATTTTTCTAAGTGTTATCCCATGATACACATTTCTCGTTTGTGGGTTTTTGTGATGCTGATTGGGCTGGAAGTGCCGATGATATGAAGAGGACATCTGGAGGATGCTTCTTTATGAGAAACAACTTGATCACGTGGTTTAGCAAGAAGCAAAACTGTATTTCTCTATCTACTATTGAAGTTGAGTACATAGCAGCAGGAAGCAATTTCTTCTAATTGGTGTGGATGAAGCAAACGATATCTGAATATAATGTCACACAAGATGTTATGATATTATTTTGTGACAATTTGAGTGCTATAAATATTTCCAAAAATCATATTCAACATAGTAGGACCAATCACATTGACATCATACATCATTTTATCAGAGAACTTATGGAGGACAAAGTCATAAAAATGAAGCATGTTAGTACAGAGAATCAACTTGCTGATATCCTTACAAAAGCTCTTGATGCTGCTCAGTTTGAGAATTTAAAGAGGAGACTTGGGATTTGTATTTATGAAGAGCTATAGCAATTACTGTTGGTGCTGCATCTTTTATTGAGAATGCTAAGTATGGTGCTACACCTGATGAACATTCTACCAGTTCTATTGAAGAAAAATAAGATGCCAATGCATGACATTTGGTCATGGGATTTTGCTTGGATGCATCTTATGATTCTGTTTATTTTGGTTTACGATTTTGTAAGAGGTAAATGCCCATGATATTTTTAAGTTTTTGCACTCTGCTACTAAAACTTCAGGTGCTTAATTTTTTGCTAAAATTGTCTAATTACCTTTTCCATAGTATGGTTAAAAAAGGGGAGTAGTATGATATTAAGAGTGTTGGAGCTGGCACTAGATGGTGTTACTACTGAGGGGGAGAATTTTATAATTCTCGGTTTTGTTATAGCAGGTGTTGAGGGGGAGTTCTTGATGTTCTGAAGGGATGTCAGGCATGATGTCTTGAAAACATGGTGTTGAGAACTTAGGTTCTCTATTTTGTTTGGCAGCTGTGTTAGTAAATCAACTAACTACTAACTATCTGATGTGTGTGATATTGCTTATTTCTATGTTGCTAACCCTGCATATGTTTTTTTCTGTTGATGTACCTCTGATGTATATGTTTGATTTATTTTTGAGCATACTTTATTGTGCAAGTATTGTTTAAGTGTTTTAGCCAAAATGTGCCAAAGGGGAAGATTGTTATTTCTCTAAAATTATGATTGGCATACATTTTGGTAAAACCAATTTGGCAGCAACATGTTGAACAAGATGTTCCAACTTTTAGTTTTCAACATGTCGAGAAAGATGTCCCAACAAGGAGTTAGGACACCACGTCTGCAGTAGCTGACAGTTGTGATTCAGCTGATTTTTTAGCTACTGTATATTTAGGGAATATTCGATTAGCTTATGTGGCGTCCAATATTGACAAATCAGAATATTTGATGCTAGTTTTTGAAGATTTTATTAGTTTCTAAATATGGAAACAATTTAGGAAACTAATGATTAAAGACCTATTTTCTTGGAGAAGATTTTGCAAACTTTGTGCAGCCTCATTATTGCGATTTTGAAGCCTAACTCAGTCTAAAATAATATTATAAATAGACTGGTGTATACCTAGTATTAGGTGGAACTTACTGATGTATTTGTGTTAGGGTTTTAGAATCCTAATTGTTGGGTTGTAAGTTCTCTTTCAGATGTTCATAAGCTTTTAAGCATTGAACATATGGTGTGTCAATTCTCATAAGCTTTTAAGCATTGAGTCTTGCGTGTTTTTGGAAGTGTATCTTCCAGTTTTATTCTCTACTTGTGTTTAGAGTTGCTCCAATTGCTGAGTGTAATTAAAGAGGGATTTGAGGAGGGCCTCATACCTAGGTGTGTCTTAGGTAGAAGTTAAGCGAAAGGTAGTGATTAAGTGCGTAGGTTGTAAACTAGGATGTTTGCTATGAGGTCTATAAGTTGATATTATCTAGTTAATTTCGTCCCTAACTCGGTAGCCCCCAGAGTAGGAAGATTATTCTGAACTGGGTAAACATATATTGTATTATTTACTTTTTACACTATTTATTTTGTCCATACATCTTCCTGTTGTGTGTGAAGTCGGATCCGGTGACTCAAAATATTTTAGGAAATCTAGAATCTAATAGCCAGAACTTCAATTGGTATCAGAGCAAACATCCTGCTCTGACTCTGGGTGAGATTCAAGGAAGTTACTTTCTAGTGCAATGGACAAGGATGTTAGAACTGTGGTTAAAATAACTATTTTTGATGGTACCAACTATGATAGTTGGAAACCTCGTATTGAAACCATTATAAAGTCCTTGGGTGACAAGGCTTGGAGAAATGTTGTAAAAGATGGGATCCACCAAAGGTTGTGGATACATAAGGGAAGGCCACTGATGTGCTGAAACCTGAAGAAGACTGGGATGATAATGATGAGGCATCGTCTAAAGGAAACTCCAAAGCATTGAATGCCATATTCGATGGAGTTGATAAAAATATTTTCGAGCTGATAAAAAATTGTAAACTTCCAAAAGTTGCATGGGAGACTGTTGTACCCCAAAAATTTCTCTCTCATTTTACTCAAGGCATGCCCATTGAGGTCCACAAATTGCTCAAGGATGACTAAAAATTGACCAGACAAATTCTCCTCCTAAGACAATGAACCTCTAACTAGGGTTTCAATTTTCATCAAGATGTGTGAGATCCAATGATATCAAATGTTTTCCATGGTCCTAATATGTCTTCAAGATTGTCCATGACAAATTTCATGCCTTGCACTACAAGTTTGCTCAGTCAACTGCTCAAATACTTGAAAATCAACTGTACTAGGTCAAAAGTCAATTGTGGCTCATATACAATCAAACTTCAAGATTTTTTGTCAACATCAAAATTTTGAAGTGATATCCATCATTTGATCAAGGGT